CAAACCCACAACAGGATTCCGAGGCTGGGCATTGGACAGACGAGGAAGATGACGAGCATGAGGCCGTGGAGGTCAACATGGGGGAGGACGATGAGGCTGCGGGCATCTTCTCCTTGCAGCTTCGGGCCTCTTGAGGGGGTTTAGCATTTGGACATCATGGTTAGGACTAATTAGGACTCCCAGGGGGCGAGGCCTGGAGTAGGGAATCTACATTCAAGTCTGACAAGCTGATGTTTCGCTGCTTTTGGCTGCCTAATGGAAGCCAAGCAGTTCCACAAGCGGAGATGTGCTGCTTCAACAGTCAACGTCTGCTATGATAGCAACAGCTCGATGAATCACGCTACAGCACAACACCGGGTGTTGCTGCCTTACACGTAAGGCGTAAGGTATGGCTTGAAGTCTCCCAGAGGCCCCATAGTAGTTCCTTTTTGGGATTACCTTATAGGATTCTATATATGAACCCCGAACCCCAAAAAAGGAACCGAAAACCCTAAACCCTACACTCCAAACCCTACACCCTAAACCCTAAACCCTAAATCCTAAACCCTAAACCCTAAACCCCTATAGGTTTGTCGCGAGCCTACCATGGCGAACATGGGAACATCTCCGCACAGCCGTCTCGTTGGCTGCGGAGCGGCAGTGAAAGCAAGAGGAGGTCTGGTTCATGTAGGGGCCTAAGTAATTACCAGCACTATTGGGGGGGTTCCTTGTTATAATTATAGTAATTATAGTATATAATGAATTACCAATACTATTTTGGGGGGGTTCCTTAATTATCATAAGTATAGTATATAATGGCCGGATGCTAAAGCGACACTGCAAAATCATGTGGATGATTCCAACCGTGGGGGCCCGTCAAGTCTCCTTAACAAGGTCATGTACGCTCGCATGAAGAAGACGTTTGACAAGAAGTTCATGCGCTTCTACTTTTCCGTGCACCCTTCAATGGAGGGCATCCTGGACATCGTAATGGCAGCCTTGACCAAGGTTGGTGGCCAGGAGAAATATGGCACAGCTCCGGAGTCCAGCTTGGAGCGGGACATTCAGGCTAAGCTTGACGCTTTGAACTAGGTGTGGGTCCCTTTGTCACCTGCCCGCTACGGTGCTACAGGCGTTTGTGAGCGTGCTGGTGGGAGCTGTAGTGTAGTGTGGCGGTTCTGACTGCAAGGGCCGTGCTTTCTTTTCTCAGTGAAAGACTGAGCAGGGGTCGCAAGCTTTTGACGCTTGTCGGTCAGTATCCAGAAGTGGTGCTGCGCTACGTTGTGTTCGTCTCACATGAACACGAATGCGGTGTGATGATGATGATAGTATATAATGGGCCCCAATATACGCTTTTATGATTATTAAGGCCCCTACCATGCGGTTGTGGGTTTGAGTCAGGCAGAAAACATCAAGCAAGCCACTTCACATGCTGACAACGAAGCCATGTGAGGTCTTTGGGCAATCCAACCCGTCAATCCGCCGCTGACATCTTGCCGGAAGCATATGGGAAGTTCTCTAAATTAGGGTCCTTTTGGGGGTCCCTTTTATAAGGGTGCCGTACTATATTGGGGACCCAAAACGGGACCCTAATTTAGAAAACTACCCATATCATATTCTAGATTCCCCTGACTTATCGACGTAAGCCTGCAAGAAGAGCCTCAACACGGTAAGAGGCAAACAATATCAAACAATACAATGTCTCCCTCTCCACCTTTTGCTTTCCAGAGCGAGGGTCCTTTGCGTTTTGTTACTCATACCCTCGGGTTTTTCCCAAAACCCTAAACCCTTGTGGCTTCATACGGATTTTTCCCAGGAGTGGGTGTCCATCTCAGGTCACGTCCTAAAGTTTGGAGTCCGGAGCCATAGGCCCCAAGATACGTCCTGACCTGCCCTCAGCCATGGTGTGGGGTCCAACTTAGAAGAATCTGTGCTAAGTCGCTTGGGGTACGCTAGCCTTGTAGAATATTTTTGGTGACATCGATATATTAAGGAGCCTTTGCACGATAGTCCTCGTATGGGGCGCTGGACGACGCTGCCTCGCCGTCCGAAAGATCTCCTTCCGATCCACAGCGAGTCACCCAGGGAAGAAGGCGCAAGCTTGCAGGTTGTGGGAGAAACTTTCGGGGTTGGGGTTGGGGGTTTACGTGGGGGGTTTGCACTTTCGCGCTTCCCCGTAAACACATGGGTAGTTCTCAAAATTAGGGTGCCTTTTTACGTCCCCATTATAGTGTGGCGCCCTTATATCAAGGACCCTAAAAGGGCCCTAATTCAGAGAACCACCCACATGTCTGAAACTAGAGGATTTTGGGACTCAGGGCTTCAGGTGTGAATGCTGGGGCTGAGGCAGGTCTTAGAAGTGCGATGAGGGTTTGAGGGGTGCTGGAAGAATCTGAAGGCGGTAATTATCGCCTGAACCATCGACTCTAAACCCCAACCCTACCCTAAACCCTATAACCTTTAAACTCTGTAAGCCTTAAACCCAAGGCCCTAAGGCCCAAATAGGACACAATTCCTAAGCACAAGAGCCCCGGGGGAACGAGCCTCCTCGGGCCTCTTTCACGCCTGGGGAGGACGAGCCCATGGGGCTACCGATCAGCTCGACGAGACGTGGTATGGGGAGAGGTCTAGAGGGTATATAGGGGGCTCTTGGGGAGGCTTCCGAGGTCAAGAGGGCTGGGCTTAAAGCAGCTGCCGATACTACTGCTATGGTTATGACGGCTTCCTTGCTATGATGATGCTTGCTGCTACTTCCTGCACCATCCTGTTCCGCTCTTATGTGCTGCTCCAAGCTTCTCACTGTGAGCTTCTATGATGTGAAGGGGCCACCAGCCCATGTCGGACACGGCTATTCAGGGCTTAGGCCCGCGGCTTCGAGTTCAGAGTCCTTGTGCTTAGCTGTTTCCGTGGCTCCGAAATGTAAGCAGAGCCAGCAGCACGGCGGCAGGCAGGGGTTTCTTTCACACAAACGTGTCGGCACACCGCGATCTAGACAGGGCCGTGTCTTGGCTTCATGGTGCTTGCAATGGACACCACATAGTGCTGCTATTGCTCTTCATAAGGGACACACCCGTATAGGGGCCTGAATGTTTGGAACAGGGCGTTTGGGGATAAATATTGGACATGGGTCATACATCAGACCTCTGTGATGGCCTGAATCGTAAAACCTTAAACCCAAAACAATGAACCAAACCCCACCCTAATCCATACCGCATAAGATTCCAAAACCCTATAAACCCACCGCAAACCCTACGCCCCAAAGTGAAGCCCTAAACCTGACACCCTGAGCGCCGCTAGGGACAGGCTTTAGGCTTGAAGGGCGGGAGCAGGGAGTTTTCAATGCTCAAGCTGACGTAGCTTCCTGTTTGAGGCTTTACGGATTTAGGGGTTTCGGGCTTAGCTTTCCAAAGACAACCCTAGAAAACTAAGTCTGAACCGGATGGACAGTATGGTAGCCCATGGTAGCAACTGCCATGAACTACCATAATCTGCTCGGTTTCAGGGGCCCTACCAGGAACTACAAAGGCCCCTATATCCCTCCTGCATTGTTGTTTTTGCTTCGAGCTTCGATGACGGGTGCTTGGATTCTCCTTGAAGTGATGTAGAAAGGAAGAGTGTAGAAGACCACTCTTCGGGGTTCCTTGAAAAAGTACAGTACACCTCCAGCTGCCAACATGTAGTCAATTCCCAGCTTTACCATGTGTCCAACAGAACCCATAGATTGTTGGTGTTTGGGGCTACTTGCGGTGCAAATGATTGATTTCTGTAGTGCTTAAACGCTAACATGTATGGAAGGTTCGGTCGCGTTTCGGGGGCCCTTGAATTGAGGGCCGAGGCTTCATAGGGATTTGGTTTAGGGGTTTAGGGATTCATTAGCATCATGGTTCAACATTTTTAAGGTACTGTTCTTGTAGGACTTATACCAGGCCCTAAAGTAGCTCCTTTTGGGGGTTCATATATAGAATCCCATAAGGTAACCCCAAAAGGAACTACTTTAGGGCCTATGGGTAGGCATATAGGACCTATAGGGTGTAGACTGCGGGGATCCTCCCTCCGATGGGTGTTGACGCTTCGCTTGAAGGATTTCGGCATGCGGGGTGTCTCAAGATTCACTTAACGCAAAGGGTCCAAGCACTAGTGTAGTCTATACTTTTGGGGCCCAAATACCTACTAAGTACCTACTATAATGGTACTTGGACCCTTTGGGTAAAGATAAGGATTCGGCATTTGTGGGAATACAGCTGCAGCAGAAACCGTCACATGGTATCCTTATGATCCAGCTACCCGACGCCATTCTCTTCCTCTTCTTTGTCTGTACGTGAAAACATCAAGGTGCCAATCGATTCAAGAGTGAACTTCAAGAAGCCATGCCGCGTTGGGCGCAATGAGGCAAACTCTGCCTTCTACCCGAATTTCAGCAAGTCTGAACCACATTGCAGGATGTTCACGAAGTCAGTGCCGACCAGTCCGAGAAAACCATGTCGGCACGCAGCGACTGAACCAGCCGCGATCCATCAGCATCAGCTGTGTTCTCATCCATGATAAAAGTGCAGAGGGATTTTGATTTTGCGTTTCTGACTCCAGAGCTCTTCGACACCACTGTCCTCCCCGTCGTCGCTCACGATCACGACGTCCTCACGGCCACGCTCCGGCTCACCCAGCCAGGTAGGGATCTACAAGTCAGACAGTGACATTCAGCTTTCCTGGGACCAGCCGCCTCGGAAAAGGCAGAAAACGACAGAGCACGGAGCAAAGCTCATGCCTGCACGTGCTGACCTTTGCCTACTTCCTTTAGTAATGCATGACACAGAGTGTATATGGAATAAAGCACTGAGGACTGGGAAGATTCAAAGAGACTGGACCCCCTCATAGATTGAAGTTTCGCAGAACGGAACGCGACATGTAATCGACCCCACCCTCGAGAAAACCCTTCAGACTGCTACCGTTCAGGATTTTAGGGCTTCGTTGTCATAGGGGTTTAGGGTTTAGAGCGCAGGCTCTCTTTTGGCTGCCAGGCTGCTTCAGCCATCCTCATCTGAGGTTGCCCCTGCATGCGTCCTGGCGTCCTGCTAACATGACTGTCTCATGAGGGAAAGCGACCTAAATCCCAAACCCTCAACCCTGAGCACTGAAACTGAAATGAAAAATGAAACAAAAATCTGAACCCTAAACCTTAAATCCTGAAGCTTCAATCCTAAATCCGAAACCGCGGACCCAATGGCCCCCTTACGGGGCCTGCATAATTAGAATAGTATTCCTCAGGGTCGCTAAATGTAACCATATATATATATATATGAGCCGGCG